GATAGCAGCACATTCCCAGCCTCTCTCAAGGGCTGAGGATGAAGGACACAGAGAGACAGGATAAGGGGTGATGACAATCCAACTTCTGAGGCCAAGGGAGGGACTGGCTTTGATTTGGAAGCATGTGTTGACACCCTTCGGTGATGCGCTTGTAAATACAACCATGGCCAGCGCTGCAGTGACTGTGTTCTTGAAGCCAAAGCCTAGGAGGCCAGGAAGACACAGCAAGAGGGACATGGGCACAGGCAGGGCTCTTCTCCCTCCATCTTTGTGCCAAGGCTTTGGCATGAACCTGACCTCTCATTTCTCGTCAGTGTTTTCTATGCCAGCGGGGTTGGGAACAGTAAGTTAGACAAGGTAGCAGATCCAAGGCACCAGTTGGCGGGTTCCAAATACAGATGTGGAGTCAAGCCTTTCAGCAGTCAAGAGCAAGTGAGACTGGATAGGAACTGCCAGCTATGGGAATGGATGGAGGTGGGGACGGAGGTGGAGCGGCAGAGGACAGTGCCAGGTGGTAAGGCTTGGAGGCCCGGGTGAGCTGTGCACCAGGACATGTGCTGAAGGACAGGGCACACTTTCGGAAGTTAGGTCTTGGTGTATGCTGGGACCCGGTTGTCACTCTCACATAAGCAAGCTCTTGCATTCACTGAGCCATCTCCAGAGTTCCTCTTTCAAAGGTGTCCCCTTCACTGGATGTGCCCAACTACTAGCCAGAGACAGAGGAGGCCTGTGGGACATTTACCTTTGCATCTGTTGTTCCCTCTATCATGCTAGAGATCATTGAGACAGCAGCAGCATCCATCTTCTGAACTTCTCACCATCCCAAAATAAGTAGCTTCCATTCTGTTGTCACTTCAACCCCTCATTCTGTGAGTTTCTCTGTTTGACTTTGTTAGTGGCTCTATAATATTAGTCTTTTTGTATCTTTGCTATGTTTGTTTAAGGCTCATTCATGCTATACTCTCAGAATTTCATTCAGTTTTTTAAAGATTTTTATTTATTATGTATACAACATTCTGCTTCCATGTATATCTGCACACCAGTAGAGGGCACCAGATCTCATAATGGATGGTTGTAAGCCACCATGTGGTTGCTGGGAATTGAACTCAGGACCTCTGGAAGAGCAGTCGGTGCTCTTAACCTCTGAGCTATCTCTCCAGCCCAAGAATTTCACTCATTTTTAAGAACAAATATTCTGTCACCTTTTGATTGTTCCTTCATAATAGACAGGGGTGATTTCTTCCCTTCTGACTCTGTGCACAGTGGTTCCATGAGCATGAGCACATTTATGACTCCCAGATTTCAATCCCCTTAGTTATATATATCTAAAATGGTCTTGGATTATATGGTAGCTTAGTTCACTGTGTTGCTACCACAGAATACCAGAATCTGGGGAATTATAAACAACAAGAAGCTATTTCTTACAGGCTTAGAAGTGAAGATCCAAGCCCTGGGATCTGATGAGGGCTTTCTTTATGAATCCTCAAGAGGCAGAGGACAGAAGGCAAACCTCCACCTCCAGTTTCTTTTTTGGCCATGAAATCAGAAACACACTTTTTCTTTACAGGCTATAGTGAAAGTGCTGAGTTCTAAGTTGCTTTGATGATCTAAACATGGATCAGGACAGTCTTCACAGGTGGATTCTCCAGAGCTACAGGTGAAGCAGAACTGTGGCAGAGGTAAGGGGAGCACTGTGCTTCCCTTGGTGTCCCTATGGCTCCGGGCACCTTGCTTGGTGGCTCAGGAAGGAAACTAGGTCACAGAGCGTTTGCAGGACACTGAGCATGTTGGACCACCTAGTTCCCTCACCTACTCCAGGACGGCTCATCAGCGGGGCCATTCCTTTAACGAATATTTGTCTTCTGGGTCTTTTTATTATGAAAAGAATGCATGCCTGGAGTGGTTGCTTGTGGTGCACATACAGGCAGTAAAACTGTTGGCCTACAATAACTCTACTTACTTAATATCCAGAGACTGTCAAACTGTTTTCTTTGTAAACATTTGTTTATAGTGTATGTGAGTACGCACACGCCAGTGTGGGAGGGGACAGAGCTGAGAGTGTCTGATCTCTCTGACCCTTTGGGTCTCTGAAACTCAGGTTGTCAGAGTTGGTAGAGGTGCCCACTGGTCCAGCCCATGTCAAACTGTGTTTGTAGTAGCTGTACCACTCACAGCCTTTTGGAGACATCTGAGAATGGCAGTTTCTCCTATTTTGGCATTTATCATTGCCTCTCTTGCTCATTATAGGCCATCCGTTTCACCAGTCTACAGCAGTCATTGTTCCCATCCTTCTCACCTCCAGGCGGTTTTCTCGGCCTCTGAATGTCTGCTGACCTTCATGTCTTCATAGTTCCCCAAACAAAACAACGTTGTCCGTGCTGTAGGTAACATCGGGTGGGAGTTCAGCAAACACCATCTCCCCAGTGTTCCAGAACACACAGCTGCTCTAATACAAACTCCTGTACCCGAGGGAGGCACAGAAGGACATTAAGCATCCCACAAGTTCAAAGACTCAACAAGCGTTTTAGCACCAAGTAAGGTAGGCAGCATTATTAACCCGGGAGTCTGTGCAAGACACATATTCTTCAGTAAGTGCTTCGCTCTGCATAAGGACCCAGAAGTCTGTGCTTTGGCAAGTCTGAATGAAGGGGGGTGGGGGTGGGAGGGACTAGACTGAATGCTGCAGTCTCCAGTACCTGGAAGATAGATAGTCCTGGTTTTCAAAGCCTGGGGAAGACAGTGTGATTCCTCACAGAAGTACTCCCCTGGCAGCTGGCCTCACTCTGCCTTATGTTGCATTTGCTCAGGTAGAGGGATTACATTCACTACCAACTCACCAGGGTCGTGTGCACTCTGAGTTTTCCAGCACAGGGACTCATTTCCTCTGACATCTGTACTGGCTGCATCCTCCTTTGGCAAACTTCATAAACCTCTGCCAGCCCTTAAGGCAATGTGCTACCCAACTGTAAGTAACTCAAAGTGGAATATATATATATATATTCCTGGAGTAAACTGGCTTTGATCACAGGACTGTGAATGGAGCAAAACACTGAGGGCGGGCTGGGAGAAGCAATGAGGGCCAGGAAGGCAGAGCAGGGGGCAAGTTTGAATATAATTGACCCCCATAATCTCATAGGCAGTGGCACTATTAGGAGGTGTGACTTTGTTGGAGTGGGTATGGCCTTGTTGGAGGTGTGTCACTGTGGGGGCGTGTTCTGAGGTTTCCTATGCTCAGGATATGGTCCAGTGTCACAAGTTGACTTCCTGTTACCTGTCTCAGCTACTACTCCAGCACCACATCTGCCTGCACGCCTCCATGCCCCCCTCCCCCGCCACGATGATGATAATGGGCTGAACCTCTTAAATGTAAGTGAGCCACCCAATTAAATGTTTTCACTTATGAGTTGCTGTGGTCATGCTGTCTCTTCACAGCAATAGAACCCTAAGATAGACATCTATACCTGCAACTACTTCTTTCCAAGTGTCATGGTTGGGGTGTCAAGGCCTTTGGAAATCTGTCACTTGTTTTTCATATTTTCAGGGGCTCACAGCTAAGGACTTGAGTCTCAGAGACTTGGACTTAGATTTTTGGGCAGTTCTGGAACCTTTGAGAATTTGAGGATTCTTGAATGTCCTTTAACATCTTGTGTGATGAGCTTGAGTCTTTAGGGACTAAGGGCAGAATGTCACGGTTAAGCCTGGAATGTTCCACAGTGATTCATGCAGTGAAGGTTTAGCTGTGGTGCAGCACTAAATCCCAGATGACTGGATCATTAGGGCTATAATCTTATCCGCACAAATGGAGGCGTGGCTGAGCTGGGAGGTTGGAGGAAACTAAGAGGCAGGGCCTACTTGGAGTAAGTAGGTCACTGGAAGCATGTTTTTGAAAAGTGTGTCTTAGTCTGGTGTAGTGATGTATGCACCCAGGAGACAGAGGTAGACAGATATCTGAGTTCTAGGCTAGTCTGGTCTATACTCTGAGTTCCAGGCTTAGCTAAACTATACAGTGAGAGCCCTGCCTCATGGAAGAAATGAGGGAAGAAACGTGTTTTGTCCCTGGCCCCTCACTGTCTGTTTTCCCTCCCTGGCCACTGTAAAATGGTCAGCCTCTTCTGCTACATGGTCTCACCGCCATGGTATTCTGCTGTGTCTCATTCCCAAAATAAAGGAGCCAGCCTCTGGCACCACGAGTGGAAAGAAGTCCTCCTCCTTTAAAGTGCTTTCCTCAGGCCTCTGCCACATGGGAAGCTACTTAGCTCATCTGTTCTCCTTCTTCCTGCATCCACCACACAATCAGATCTTTGTGTGTCCAAGTGTGCAGGCACATGCGTACAGAGGCCACTGGTTGCATTGGTATCTTCCTCTAGGGTCTCTTGCTGAACCTGGAACTAGCTAGCATTACAATCATGTACCACAGCACCGGATTTTATGGGGATGCTGGGATCAAACTCAGGTCCTCATGTTTTCATGGCAAGCACTATATCCAGAACCATTTTTCTAGCCCAAGATTGTCTTAGTCATGTGCTTGCTTGCATACCTGGCAAGATTAGAGTGCTTGTAACAATTTTAGTCTCCACCGGAGTCTGTAGTTAATTCAAATTTGTGAAAGACTGATAAGGAGAAAATTATAAAAACAAACTATTTTTCATTTTGTTAAAAAAGGGAAGGATTAGGGGTAACTTAATGGCAGAGCTTTCCTGTGTAGAGGCCCAAGGCTCATCCCCAGCACTGGAAAAACAAAAAACCCCAAAAAAACCCAAAACCAAACCACAGCAGAAAAGGCCTAAGAGGATGGTGTTCACAAAGTAGGCCTGTGCTTTCTGCCCTGCCCTCTCCACACAACCTCTCACAAAAGAAAATGACTCATGCAAACTGGAGCTACCTTCTGAGAACAAGGTTTAATTCAGGTCCAGAACCATGATTATAACACTATAAAAATCACTACCAATGCCGGCACTGCTTGGGTTTGGTTTTCCTGATTACCACCTAGTGTCTGACTTAGCTGTGGCAATAAATGTGCATTGCTCTGTCATTTACCACAGAGAAGTGCACTGGCTTCGTGTTTCTGGTTGTCTTCAGTAAGTCTATATTGACTGCCGTCACTGAGTTATCTTGAATGCTTTCTTCCCCTTTCTGTTCTTTGAAACAAAGACATGTTTTGGGTTTTATCACTTAAACCTTGTTCTTCCCCTTTTTCCCTTTGGGAGCGCCTGGCCAAGGATAGCCTCGAAGGTACAGGCAGTCGGCAACATTGTGGGCAATGTAGTAGAGGTTCAGCATGGCTGCAGGGCTAAGGATGTCCACTTCCGGCTTCTTTGGCTTCTGCTTCTTCCCAAAAGACTTGACCCGGCCTTTCCCTTTCTTCCCTTTACCTGACTTTCAAAGACAAGTACAAACAAGGGGAGAACATTAGTTTCTATCACCTTGATGTGATTTTTTTCTTTCCTTCCTTCCTTCCTTCCTTCCTTCCTCCCTTTCTTTCTCCCTTTCTTTCTTTTCTCTTCCTTTCTTCTTTCTTTTCCTCCCTCCCTCCCTTCTTCCTTCCTTCCTTCCTTCCTTCCTTCCTTCCTTCCTTCCTTCCCCCTCTCTTTTTTTTTTCCTCTTGGAGACAGGGTCTGAACATCTAGACCTGGCTAGCCTTGAACTCACACAGATCTGTCTGACTCTGCCTCCCAAGTGCTGGGATCAAAGGCATGTGACATCAAGCCCTGCCTTGAAGTAATTTTCCACATTTCCTTATTGACTTTAAGGGGAAATGAAAGCTAAAAGGAAAAAAAAAAATCCAGACTACCACAACAAATACATTTGTGTGTTCAAAATAACTAGAAGAGTCAGAAGGTTCCCAACACAGGGTTGGTTAATGTCGGAGGAAATGAAATGCTAATTAGTCTGATTTGATGTCTGTATGTCTATCACATTATTGTATTGCATCCCACAAGTATGTACAAACATCCTATATCATTTTTTTTTTAATGCTTGCCTGGAGCAGGAGAATCAAATGCAATCTAATGTGACAGATGCTTACTAAGCCGTTCATATTTAAAGAAACCAAAACCAATGTGACGCATGGCCCTTTCTTGTTTGGCACTTTCTTGCATTCTTATTTGCATAAGCTTTGAAAGGACATTTTTTAGGAAAGCAGGACTCTGTCTGTTAGGTCTGATAGTGGCATTTGGTGTGCACATGTCTCAGAGATGCACACTGAAGCTGCAGAGATGAAATAAAAGACAAGGGATTTGCTTGCCTGTACTTCTGCTCTCTCTCCACCATACAAAGAACAGAAACCACAGATCTGGTAAGCTCCTGATATTTCCTGACCTGAGGAGTGGACCTATGGGGATTTATTTTTACCAAACTATTCTTGCATATTTCTGGAGGGTTGCATGCTAAAAATTAAATTTAAAACAAGTTACACAGACAGGAAACAAATATGTATTTTGGTACTTGTTATGCAAGTACTTTTTACCCCAGAAATCACGAGGTTTAAGTGAGATGTAGACAACAGACTCAGTGTCTGAAGCAAGCAAGCACTTAGCCAATGATTCCTGCCATCATCTGTATCACTACAGGGCTGTGCTTCAAGATGGACAGGTATCATTCCCATCTTCAAAATGAAACTCTGCCTCGAAAACAAACAAACAAAAGATTTTGAATGTTGGCTCATTTATTTATTTATTTTGTTTTTTTTTTTTTTTTTTTTTTTTGAGACATGATTTCTCTGTACCCCTAGCTGTCCTGGAACTCACTCTGTAGACCAGGCTGGCCTTGAATTCAGAGATCCTCCTGCCTCTGCCTCCCTAGTGCTGGGATTAAAGGCATGTGCCACCACCGTCCAGCTCTTTTATAATTATACTTTCTTGAATGTCAATGGCACTTGGCTCACCTGAAAACACTGCAACAAAATGTTTGTATACATGTATGCATGTACACAGGTATTAATCTTTAAATGGTGTGTGTGGTGGTTTGAAAGAAAATGACCCCCATAGGGAGTGTCCCTTTTAGGAGGTATGGCTTTGTTAGAGTAGGAGTGGCCTTGTAGGAGGAAATGTGGGGGTCTTCTTTGCTCAAGCTACACTCAGTGTGGTTGACAGTTCACTTCCTGTTATCTGTGGATCAAGATGTAAACTCAGTTGCTTCTCCAGTATCATATCTGTCTGCATGCTGCCATGTCCTACCATAACAACAGTGGACTGAACCTTTGAACTGTAAGCCGCCCAATTAAGTGTTTTTCTTTATAAGGGTTGTGTGGTCGTGGTGTCTCTTCACAGCAACAGAAACCCTAAATAAGATCAAGAACTAAAATGCATATCAAAGTTTTTTGTTTTTGTTTGTTTTTTTTGAGACAGGGTTTCTCTGTGTAGCTTTGGAGCCTGTCCTGGCACTCGCTCTGGAGACCACACTGGCCTCGAACTCACAGAGATCCTCCTGCCTCTGCCTCCCAAGTGTTGGGATTAAATAAAGGTGAGTGCCACCAATGCCTGGCAAAGTTTAACATTTTTAACTTTTTTGTTTGTTTGTTTTTAAGAAAGGGTCTCACCATGTAAACAAGGCTGGTCTCTAACTCAGAGATCCATCTACCTCTGCCTCCTGAGTTCTAGGCTTAGAATTGTGTACCATGATGCTCAGCTTAACTTGACATTTTTAGAAATTGGCAAACTGGGGTGGACAAGATGGCTCGGTGGTCGTCAAGCCAGACAAGCCGATTGAAATCTCCAGGATGTACATGGTAAGTAAGTATAGAGAACTGACTCTTGCAAGATACCCTCTGACTTCCATACGTGTGCCCTGTGTGCATATCCGCACACAGATCAGTACATGTAATTAACAAAACTGGAAAATTGATTGACTTGTAAAGGATGCAAGGTAAGGGCTTTAAGTATCAAATCCGAGTTCTCATGTTCTTGTAGACATTTCCAAATTCATATGAAATGCAAAGGACTTTGAAGAAGAGCAAAGTTGGAGGGTTGATATTACCTCATTCCAAAGGTCATTATAAAGCTATAGTATCAGACCACCAGTGTGCTAGTGATGTCAAGACAAACAGAACAGCATAGTGTGTTCAGGAATAATGCATATGTATATGAGCAAATGATTTTCAGAGAAAGCATCACTGTAAGGGTTATCTCTCTACAGTGTATGGTGCTGGAATAATGACGGTCCATTAGCGAGACACAAAAGCAAAGAACCCCAACTAATACTTGAACCAACCATACCAAACAAATACAAACAGAAAAATCCTCAAAATTGATCATAAAGAGACCTTTATGAACTTCAGTTGGCAAAGATTTCTATCATAAGCACAAATCATGTGCTGTAGCTTGGTTATGAAATGTCCCCATAGGTCTGTATGTTTGGACACTTGGTTCCTAGATGTTTGGGATGGGTTGGGGCAGAGGGGTTGAGGTTTTATAGCTGGATCCTACTTGCTGTTCTCCGTTTCCTGGTGGCCAGCTGACTTCACATTCGGGCAGCCATGCCTTCCACACCATTAGGACTATCTCCTTTGGAACCTCTCAGTTTCATCACAGTATTTAATTACAGCAACAGAAAAAGATACAACATCACAGAGAACAAGTTGCTAAGCTTTGCAATCAAAATGTGAAACATCTGCTTTCCAAGAGAGAATGAAAGCCAAGCCAGAGATTGGGAGAAAATAATCTGAAACCCAGCATATGATAAAGGCCTACCTTCACAATAAAGAATGCTCAAGCCACAATAGTAAGAGGGTCACCCAGGCAGGCATTGGTGGCATATGCCTTTAAACCCAGTACTCGGGAGGCAGAGGCAGGTGGATCTCTGTGAGTTTGAGGCCAGCCTGGTCTCCAGAGCGAGTGCCAGGATAGGCTCCAAAGCAATACAGAGAAACTCTTGTCTTGAAAAACCAAAAACCAAAACCAAAACCAAAACCAAAACCAAAGAGGGTCACCCAATAAAAACTTGCAAAATATTCAAATTAACACTTTCCTGAAAAAGAGACATGAACGCACACCAGTTAGAATGGCTTGTTATATGACTAAACCATATCAAATGGTGGTGAGGAAATAGAGAAACTGGAACTCTCGTTCACTGTTGGTGGACCATGAAACTGACAGAACTGCTTTGGAAGATAGTCTGGCAGTTTCTTTTTAAGTTAAACACTCCCCTAGCACCTGACTTGGTGAAAGCGCATTCCCGTTAAAGACTTGTACATACTTCTCAACGTAGCCCAATTTGTCAGAGCTACAAGCAGAAATACTCTCAAATGTTCCTCAGCAAATAAATGGATAAACATATTGTGGTGTAACCATAAAGCAGAACCCTAATGAACAATGAGAAAAGAATAGCTACAGGGATGAATTCCAAAGTGATTATGTAAAATAATACAAACCAGATGGGCCTGGTGGCCATGCCTTTAATCCCAGCACTCAGGAGGCAGAGGTGGGTGAGTTTCTATGAGTTTGGGGCTACCTGGTCTATGTAGTGAGTTTCAAGGCAGCTAGGGCTGCATAGTGAAACTCTATCTCAGAGGTGTATGTATGTATGTATGTATGTATGTATGTATAAAAAGGTAGCCCCCCAAAGCTGATATGACATATCCTATATGGAGAACATATTGCAAGCACCTTTACCCATTGAGCCATCTCACCAGCAACCATCCATCCTTCATATGGCTCACTGAAACCCAGTGGTTCCACCCATGGTCTCAGACACAATTTAAAACCTTACAAACTCCATAAGGAAGACTACTTGGCTACATCTATTCTGGCTTTCTTTCTAGCTCCCAAACTTGTCAAGTACCTCCTGTTTCCAGAGGCTCTGATTTTCCTTTCTTTCTTTCTTTCTTTCTTTCTTTCTTTCTTTCTTTCTTTTTCATTATTTATACAGCATTCTGCCTGCACGTATGCCTGCAGGCCAGAAGAGGGCACCAGATCCCATTACGGGGGTTTGTGAGCCATCCTGTGGTTCCTGGGAATTGAACTCAGGACCTCTGAAAGAGCAGCCAGTACTCTTAATCTCTGAGCCATCTTTCCAGCCCGGCCCTGATTTTCCCCCCTATACTATAGGACCTATAGGCTTTCACATAACTGAAGGGGAATGATTTGCTTTATTTCTTCCTTTGGACTCGACTCAAATCTCACTTCTTTACAAAAACCTCCCCAGGCTCCTAGGGGCACTGGATCAGCAGTAAAAACCTTTGCCTAGCATGTACAGTGGCCTGGGCTCCATTCCCACTGCCAGCAAATAAGAAAAGCCTCCCGGACACGTGTCAATTTCCCCCATACCTAGAACAATCATATAACCTCTTACTGTACCATATACATCAACCAACAAGTGAACATAAGCTGAGTCTGTCCCAGGCAAGGTGCTGGCTCCAACATAGTCTATCTACCTGCAAA